GCTACCTCTTAAACCAGGATTTCCAGGTTTAATAGAATCTGCCATTCAGCTTTCCAAATGTTGGCTTCTGCGTGGCATGTCAGTTCTTAGAAATTAAAAGCTCTATAGTAAAAACAAGAAATTTTTGCTTTTACAAAGGTCACAAATTATTACTGTGGTCAGTCACGTTGAGCTAATGCTTCAAAATTCACAGGGAAGGTTTTTTTCTCTCCACTCTGATGCATTAATCCTAGCTTGAAACCACAAAGTAGAGCAGAGGGTATTTGCCTCATAGGTAAATTCTGCCTATAGCTAAGGTGTGAAGAATAGTGTTGTGTTGTGTAAGATGGTTTTTCTTTTTATCTTTAATTCATTAGTGATTTTCTCCTGCGTCTCAATAAGCCTTTGATACTGATGAAATGCCAGAACAGTGTCTTCATGATTGAACAAAGTGAGGACATGGCTGCTCCAAGGTAGGATTTCTTGAGAAGAAGGATTTTACTGTATATATGAGGGAAAGAACAGTCAGAGGCACATGGGAGCATCCAGACTGAGTGTGGCCAGGAAAAGAGAGAGAATGAGAGAGAAGAGAACTGAGAGGGGAAAGAGCGCTCACAGATGGGACCAAAAGCCAGGAGGTGGAGGTCAAGGGAGGGAGCTGAGAGGCCAAAGAGAATCAGGAGAGTGCATGATCAAAAGGCCAGGCTTTTATAGAACAAGAAGGGAGGAGGGAGGGAGCCTCTGGGCTGTAGTGGTTTAGGGAAGGGCCAGGGTGAGAAGAGCCACAAGGACTGAGTGAGTTTAGAGGCCACCTAGTGCTTTGGTATGTTAATAGACACTACAGTTAGCCATTTATCCTCAAGTTTTTTGGGAGCTGACAAGGATGAAAGTGGTCTGTGAACTGAAATCTTCTCTGAGTTTCTTTCTGATTGGAAAACACTGTTTCTGTCTTTCTCTTTTTTAATGCTGAATCAGCATAATAATAATACAAAAGGAGGGCTTTTATTACCTTTTCAGAAATGAGTGCCAGAGGATTTGCTCACAGTCACAACACAAGTATCAGCACTGAGATTTGAAAACAGGTAGCCTGATTCTCAAGGTTGTTTAATCTTAATAATTTGAAGGTAAACTATTCCTTCAAATATTTCTTATTCATACATTATATGTTCAGCAATATAAACACACACACAATTTCTTCTTCTTCTTCTTCTCCTTTTATTTTTTTGGAGATGCAATCTAACACAATAGTGTTGTTAATAGTTTTAGGCTGTCAGAAGACCTAACACCCATGGTGCCTATAAGAAGAAATCTAAACCTGGGAATTCATTGCACCATTGTGGGGCGGTGGGCTTTGAGACACATCTGGATGCCTGGTTGAACATAAGCCTTGAACCCCAGATCTTTATAAGGCAGGTGTTCGGCACTGCTCCTAGGCCCTGGTTGTTTTCATTTAGCTTCAGCCCTCCACAGCCCCTCCCACAGAGAGGTCTATGGCCATCAGTCAAGAGGAATAGTACCTCAGGCTCTTCCACATGTAACTGTGGTATCTCCAAGCTCTCAGACCAAGCCAATAGGCATTATCTGCTGCCAGACCCTAACCCACCTGGAAACTGTATATAAGAGCTCTATTCAGGAGAAGTAAAAGGTGTACAAGAATCATCCTGATGTCCAAGAGTTTCTGTTGCTAGAGCTGTAATACTTGGAAAGAGGTCTGTTCTTCCAAAATGCCTTTGGGATTCTCCCCTCCCTGCAGCAGAGGCAGCACTCTCTCCCCTTGGCCCAGACATTCTGCACTGGGTCAGGCAGGAGACTGACAGACAGCAGAGATGTGGGCAGAGGCAGAGGCAGAGAGGCAGAGAGGCAGAGAGGCAGAGAGGCAGAGAGAGGCAGAGAGAGGCAGAGAGAGGCAGAGAGAGGCAGAGAGAGGCAGAGAGAGGCAGAGAGGCAGAGAGGCAGAGAGGCAGAGAGGCAGAGAGGCAGAGAGAGAGGCAGAGAGGCAGAGAGAGAGGCAGAGAGGCAGAGAGAGGCAGAGAGAGGCAGAGAGGCAGAGAGGCAGAGGAGAGGCAGAGAGAGGCAGAGAGGCAGAGAGAGGCAGAGAGAGAGGCAGAGGGGCAGAGAGAGGCAGAGAGAGGCAGAGAGAGGCAGAGAGAGGCAGAGAGGCAGAGAGAGGCAGAGAGGGACAGGGGCAGGGGCAGGGGCAGGGGCAGAGGCAGGGGCAGGGGCAGGGGCAGAGAGGCAGAGGCAGAGGCAGAGCCTGCTGAAGGCAGCTGTGGCTGGTTGGTGGTCTCCATGGCTTCCCTCTTCACCTCTTTGTTTCCCAAGTTACTGTCTTTGTTCCTTACGGTTGTGAGTTGCTTTAGTTTTTCTGGGCTTCTAAAAGACTTATTTATTTATTTTATATATGTGAGTACACTGTTGCTCTCTTTAGACACACAAGAAGAGTGTATTGGATACCATTACAGATGGTTGTAAGCCACTATGTGGTTGCTGGGAATTGAATTCAGCATCTCTGGAAGAGCAGTCAGTACTTTTAACTGCTGAGTGGTCTTTCCAGCCCCTAGTTTTGATGTTTGTTTCATCCTGACTGGTGACTTCCCTTAAAGTTCTGGTGGTCCTTACTAATGTATTCATATTTATAAGTGAAGAATGATGTTAATGTAAAAAAATCAGTTTGGTTTTCCTCTGTGGTCAGCCCATTTCTCCACCTCTTTCCCCAGCAAGATCTAGCTGTCATACAAACAGAGTCTTTGATTTAAAAATCTGCCCAGGGCCGGGCGTTGGTGGCGCACGCCTTTAATCCCAGCACTTGGGAGGCAGAGGCAGGCGGATTTCTGAGTTCGAGGCCAGCCTGGTCTACAGAGTGAGTTCCAGGACAGCCAGGGCTATACAGAGAAACCTTGTCTCGAAAAACCAAAAAAAAAAAAAAAAAAAAAAAATGAAAATCTGTCAAAGATACAAATAAGCCAAAAGCCTGCCATGTGAAGAACCAGTTACAAAGATGCAGTGTGCACCCACACAGCAGGCTGTGCTAAAGATGCAGTGTGCACCCACACAGTGGGCTGTGCTAAAGATGCAGTGTGCACCCACACAGTGGGCTGTGCTAAAGATGCAGTGTGCACCCACACAGTGGGCTGTGCTAAAGATGCAGTGTGTACCCACACCGTGGGTTGTGATCCATCCAACAGGTGACAAAGATTCAGTGTGTACCCACAGTGGACTATGTGGTCTATCCAGAGAGACCAAGGTACTGAAGTGCTACATTTATAGATGATGAGCCTTGGAAACACTGAGGGAGAAAGTCAGACCCAAAATCCTACATGTCATGTGATTCCACTGCTATGAGATACTCAGAAGAGGCTACAGAACAACAACAGAAAGCCCATTAGGTTGCCAGGCAAGGAAGGACCACAGAATGAGGCCCCTGATAGCAAAAGGGGAGAGAAGTATGTTTCCTCCTGAGGCGATGAAATGTTCTGATGGGCTGGAGAGAGCTCAGTGGTTCAGACCACCTGTTGCCCTTGCAGATACCCTGGGCTCCTTTCCAGCACCCACATGGTGTTTCTCTACCATCTACGACTGTAGTTCCAGGGATCCAATACCCTCTCCTGACCTTCTCGGGCACCAAGCATGCACATGGCACATACATATACATACATGCAGGCAAATACTCATACACAGAAAGATAAAATGAAGGCTTTGGCTGATGAGTACACGTGGAAGCTAATCCACCATGTCGCACACAGACACTCCTTGTCTCTTAACTTTATAAGCTAATTTTCTGTCATCAGTTATATCCATCATTTGATAACGAATGACCCGAGTCTGTGTCTTCCTTCAATCCCCCAGGCCTACGCCTGAGCCTCGTACCGTGGCAGCGCTGGCGCTGTCAGCAAACCAAAGCCCTATTTCTGTACTATAGGAACACAGCTTTGTAAGCAAAGTGCCTCTCCCCAAAACTACTAGATTTACAATGAAAATTAATCCTCTTACCCCATATCTCCCTGCTTTTAGAAATCTTCCATTTCTTAGAAGCTATCATCTTCAATTTTTGGTTTCTCTCACCCTTTGCACCACACCTCTAAACACAATACGTAGAATCAGTCTCTAATCGAGCTGTTCCTGTGGCACACACTTTGCTCTCACACATACCTCTGACTTCATCTCTTGACAGAGTTGGAATCCACATTTTGGAAAACTGGAACCAACAGTGTTGAGCCACATAATATACTGAGTACATTCTTTTCCAGTATGATCACTGGTTTTTCCAAGTTAATATACGTGCATGATTGCCAACCCCACCCTCCCTCCCTCCCTTTCTTTATTACAGTCAGGGTCTTACATATCCCACACTTTGAACTTCCCTATGTGGCTTGAAACTTCTGACTCTGCTGCTTCCCCTCCCAGCGCTGGGATTACAGGTGTGAGCCATGATACAGTACTAGGATGAGCCCGTTTCATGGCTGGTAGGCAAGAACTCCACCAATGAGCAGTGTGCAGTCCGTTGTCCTGACCTTCAGTTCTCAAGCCCTCTATCGGCCTTTGAACAGAACTCTCTTCCTGCGGGGTCCCACTGCTGTGCAGGTTTCAGAAGGCCCTTCTCTGGGACTTGGTGTCACAGTTGTCTGGGAACGTCTCCTGCTCTGTGTGTCAGCCTCCTTCTTGGAGCCCACGCGAACCTTCCTTGTTCACAGCCTCCTTGCTGGAGCAGAGCTCATGCCTTCTTTCCTTCCTTTACTTGCTAGAGCTAAGCTTTCTGTTGGGAGGAAGTGCTGCAAGTCTAAAATATATATCTGTTCTCACACTTGACTGACAGCTTAGCTGAATACAATTTTTATCAAAATATTTGCAGCATTTTAGATTTATAATTTCTTCCTTCCTTCATTTACCTATTTTATTATCTTTTGAGACAGAGCCCTGGCTGGCCTGGACCTCAGCGATTTACCTGCTTCAGCTTCCCCAGTGCTGGGATTAAAGGCAGCCACCATCACAGCCAGCAACTCCAGTGATAAAACTGGCCTCACCTTGCCATGCTGCTGAGGATAACCGTAAGCTCCTGACCCTTCCGCCTCCACTCTCCTGTGTGGGTAACAGACATGTGCCACTGTGTCCACCTCTAGAGTTCTAGTTTCTAATCAAGTTATTGAGAGAGGTGATAGAGCTCTGATCCTAAGGTTCTAGGAAGACCTGCTCTTCCTCAGGAAGGTCTGAGGATCTTTGTGTGTGAGGTATGTGTCTGTGTAACACTGGGATCTTCTTCAGTCACCTCTCAGCTTACTATTATTTCTTTGACAAATTTCTCATTTTCTTAACCCAGGAGCTCATCAATGTGGTTGATCAGCTGCATGTAGGCTCGAGGGATCCTCCTGTCTCTACCTTCCAAGTGCTGGGCTCACAAGTGTACATCATCAATTCCAGCTGTTAACATGAGTGCTGAATTTGAACTCAGGTCTTCATGCCTGCCTGGTAAGTACATTACTAATGAGCCATTTTCTCAACCTTCCCTCCTGGATTTTCTTTACTAGTCATATCCAGAATTTTCTTGTGTCTCTGTGTGTGCATGTGGATGTGTGTGCATTGCTAGGTATGGAACACAGGAATACATGTATGGAATATATGCTAGGCAGTGGTCTACCAATGAGCTATATTCCTTGGTTATTTTTGTTTGTTTTTTTACATGGGAGGTCTTATGGTATAATTCAGGACAGCCTTGCTGGGGGACAGTGGACATGGCTGTACCACAGCCTTGATCTAATGATCCTCCTGCCTCAGACTTCTGAGTGCTGGGATTTAAAAAAAATCATTGAGGGAAGAATAAGTCAGGCATCGTGGTCTGGGGAGTCCTGCAGCTCTGAGTGACCGGCAATCATATTGCTTCTTTATACAGGTTTCACAGAACAAATACAGACGCGTAATTATCCAGATAGTACCAATTATGTCATTTGTCTCTGGACATGTGTTTAATTTTTGTCCAGGTTTACAAGTTTAGTCACAATTAGAAAGTACAAACAGAACAGATTTTATTTTTATTATTAGCCCTATAACTCCAATTCAAATAATCTAAAGAATGTTTTTGTCAAAGCAAACACATTTATTTTATGACAGCCTGCTTTTAGGCTGGCAGTATTTGTGGTTTTAAAGTACTCCAGACAAACTGAAAAATTTTAAAAACCAATCTTTTTCTGAATAGCAAATATTAACACCCAACTCCTTATACCGTGTCGCTTCATCGCCTGCTCTATAAAGAAGGAAAAGATCACTCTAGTTAATCTATCTCATTTACTGAGTTCTAGTCCTCCAGGGCTATACCCTGTACGACCCCCTATAGTTAACCTACATTGTCAGAGAACTCTAAACGTACTGAATCTGTAACCTTTCTCCTGGCCAGTCAGAGTTTGTCAGTTGTCTCTGTTGACCCTACACCAACTATACTGTTTGAGATTGCTTGGGGTGGGGGTGGGGGTTCATTTAGAGATTCCCAGCCAATATTAGTGCTTACCCATGCTTAACCATCTCCAGGGCATATGGAAGACTTCCAAACAGGGCCAGAGAAGTTTAAGTAAGTTTAAGACTTTTCCTAAACATTTTCTCAGGAAAAGACATAAAATTAATCATAATGCAGAAAGTCCCCAAGATGCAACAGGCAGAGACAAAAACCTGAAACTGAGAGACAGATGACAGCGACCGCTGCTCTGCCACAGCCTGGATCTAATGATCCTCCTGCCTCAGCCTCCCGAGTGCTGGGATTAAAAAATAAAAACATCCCCTTGGGATATTTCCTCACTTTTATCAGCAAACTAAAGTCCTCAAACTAGATGAGTAAGTAGTGGGAATGGAACTAGCTTTTGTAGATGCTTTTATATATATTCTACAACAGCCATATGTTACTTTTAAAGTCAGAAAAGAATTGCATAATTATCTAAAGATTAAGCTGAAGAAAAAGACCACCTAAAAAGAATAATACTTCAAATGCACACTATTTATCTGTAGATCAAGCTAACAAGTGAAAATACGTAGAGAACTCAGATGAGGTGGCACACATTTGGATTCCCAGAACTTGCAGGTAGAGGCAGGGGATCAGGAGTTCAAGGCCAGCCTTTAACAAAGCAAATAATAAAAATATACAAAGAAGTCACAATAAAGTGCCGTTTGGTTAGATAGAACATGTGGCGTACAGGAGGGGAATGTTTTTACACGGTAGCTTTAAGTGAGGTTTAAGAGTGATCAGAAAACTGTAATACACCAAAGGATCTCAGCTGGGCACAAATGCAAAATCTGAACAAACAAGACATAAAACCTTTCTCCACTTACAAAGTGACAGGGAAAGATGGACCTGTTACTTCAGTTAGCAGACAAATGTGAGAACTTGTTACTCAGCTGATAACTTCAAAATACTTATGTTAGGGGTTTCCCTTAGTAGTTTTATTTTTTTTAAATTCCTACTCCTTTCTTATTTCCATTTTTTTGAGACAAGAGTTTGCTATGTCCCTAAACTCACTATGTAGGTAGGCATGGTGGGCCTGAGGCTGTTGGATCCCTCTGCCTCTGGCTCCTTGGTACTAGGATTACAGGCATGTACCATTGCCTGCCCCATATCTACTTTTTATATGGCTACAAAATACAAAATGTATAAAACTAGAAATTAGCCTATTGATCCATTTTTTTTCCCACCACAAAACCGGTTGGGTTCTATGAAAACCAATGAGGTGTGCTTTGACATTACTGTTTCACTACCTGAAAGCCCCTTCTCTGATCACCAGCCAGCCTGCAGGTCAGAGCCAGGAAAATCTGTGCATCCTGTCCTAGGACTTCCGTATGCTGTCTGCCTTCTGCCCTTGCTCCCTGGAGCTCTCAGCTCCTGAGTGACACAGGTTGAGGGAAGTCAAGCACCACAACTGCACACACCACACCGCTACTTCCCAACACGGATGCACTTACTTACCCAGTTTTCCTCTAGTACCCCCACGTTATATTTATCATCCCCTCCTGGGTTGATGCATTGCTTCTGCTCAGCATAAAATTCCTGGAGAGCGGCTAAGGTATGGGAAGAAAGCTGGGGTATGTCATCGTCTTCTGAATCACTCATTTCACCAAGTGTCTGTGACCTGCAGTGCAAGAATATATGTTGTATGGACTTGTTTCCTATGCCCACCAAATAACAATGAGAATGGTTTTTTCTCCATGTAGCCCGGGTGTTCTGGGACTTGCTATGTAGACCAGGTCTCAAACTCACAGAGGTCCACCTGTCTGGGATTAAAGGCATGCCCACCTTTGCCTAGTGAGAAGTGAATTTTAAACGGAAAGCACACATATCTAAAACTTCCTGGGGATGGAGGAATGGCTTAGCAGGTAAAGTCACTGTCTATGTAACCTTGGTAACCTGAGGTCAATCATCATTGGAATCCCTGTAAAAAAAGCCAGATGAAGGGCTGGAGAGGTGGCTCAGCAGTCAAGAGCACTCCCTGACTGCTCTTCCACAGGATCTGGTTCGATCCTCAGCAGCTCACAACTTTCTATAACTCCAGTCCCAGACGATGTGCTGCCCGTTTCTGGCCTTTACTGGCGCTAGGCATGCATGTGGTGCATGGATATCTATTAAGGCAAATGCCCTTACACGTAAAATGCAAATAAAACCAACCAACCAACCAGATGGGGCGGCTTACATGATACCCCAGCCCCAGTACTGGTAAGAGATAGGAGGCGGATACAGCAGAAACCCTGAAAGAAGGTATGATGGCCAGGCATGGGGCACAGCACTTTAATCCCAGCACTTGGAAGGCAGAGGCAGGTGGATCTCTGAGTTTGGCCAAGTCTACATAGCTAGTTCCACGCCAGCCAGGGTTACACAGAGACACTGTCTCAAAAAGCAAGCAAGCAAACAAACAAATGAATAGGGCTGGGAAGGAACTCACTCCTGGAGAGCGATTCTCTGACTTTTGCACATGCATGGTGCCACACCTATGTCCGTGTGCACACACAATGAGCTCTAAGGAAAGCACTCTCTCATGCTCTTCTCTATTTTTCTTTCCCAGTGGTCTTTAAGATTCTTTTTCTATTTATTTCTGCCTTGGTGCACTTTCTACATGTTTTTAGTACTTAGGGTTTACTGAGGTTCTTAGATCTGCAGAATTTCTAGTTTTGCATCAGATCTGATAAAAAGCCTTGGCCATGTACATTCTGAGAGTCAAACTCTGGGCAACAGGCTTGTCCACAAGAAACTTTACCCACTGAAGCATCTCAGCAGACCCCAGGTTCATCTTTGATACACAGTTTTCATCTCAACAAACAGGAAGTCTTTCTCATACTCATACTTAATGTATTCAATCTTTTCTTTACCTGTTTTTCTTTTTTATTTAGGTGTTTTGCCTTCATGTATGTCCACGCACCAGATGAATGCCTGGTGCCCCAAACCTTGAAAACCTTGTGTATACTTAGCCTAGATGTTCCTTAACTTCTTAAACTGAGGGTTATGACCTCATACATGAGGTTTCATAGCTAAAAGTGTGATGGGGGTGTGGGGAGTGTTGGCATCAGTGAAAGTTACTAGATATGCAACAACCAAAAGTTAACTGAACATTCATCCCCTGGTGAATCTGCGGTGTTTCACTCAGCCTGTGCTGCACGTCTCTACAGCCTTGGCTCTGCACACACAACACGAGGCGTGGCACCAAGCCACAAAACACATTGTGAACTGTGTTGTCTGTACTATGCTCAGTTTTCTACTCTCAGTACTAAGTTTAGATTGCACTGCATTAGAATATTTGATTTTAAAAACTGTTGTTTGTGAGGCTGGAGAATGGTTCAGCAGTCAAGAGCACACACTGTTCTCACAGAGGACCTGAGCTGGGTTCCCAGCACCCACACTGGGAGGCTGACTCCAGCTCCAAGGGATCCAGAGCCTTCTTCTGGCTTCCCCAGACAGTGTGCATGCACACACAAAAGGACACATAATTTTTAAAAAATTGTCTCTGACAATTAAATTTAAAAAAAATATACCGTTGTAACTGGTCACTTGTGTTTCTTTTTTTTTTTAATTAATTAATTTATTTATGAGTATACTGCAGCTGTCTTCAGACACACCAGAAGAGGGCATCCAAT